AAGGAAGTTGTGTCAGACTGAGAAGTATGTAGGTCGCAAGTATGGAGTTCCGTGCCAACGAGCCGACAAAGGTGATTGTCTCCTACGCTTCTGTTCAGATAATCATCTGTTCTTAATCAGCACTAGCTTAAGGCAAAAAGAGAGACAGTGCTTAACCAACCGGTGACCTCCATCACCACTTCAACGTTGGACTCAGATAGACCACATAGCGCTAAGGTGCCGTTGGAGAGGATCAGTGGAAGACTACCGCTCCTCCTGGAACACGTGCGTAGACTCCGATCATGCACTGGTTCGCTCACGTTTATACTTACGATTAAAAGGACATAAAAATTGTTTTTCAGCGAAGCAGTTACTTTCCCAACTATATAGAGACACTGAGTCTTTAATCAAGGAAGAAATAGCAAGACGAGTGTATGAGGTCGACAGCAGGACTCCTCCTGAAGAAGTGTGGCGGGTACAACGTAAAGTTAGATGTATACACAGTTGTAAATGCTGTTGATAATAACCAAAAACCTAAAGTTAGTGGGGGCCAGTGGGTTTCTACCAACTCATCCGAACTGATTGATGCAAGAAGACTGACTCCAGCAAGCTCTGAATATGATGAAGAGAGAAAGCTACTCAAACGCAAACTAACAAGAAATCTTCGTAACGACCACGAACAGCAGTAGGCGACAAAAGTGAAAGCGGCGGAAAATGCATCCGTGATTGGTAACACCAGGCAACTATTTAGGCTGATCAGGGAAACTGGTGGTAATAGGCAAATGATGAGTGAAACAATCTTCGAGATAAATGGCATCAGGATTAGCTATCAAGGTAGACTACTAGAACGTTGGAAAGAGCACTTTGTCACTGATTATCCCCATAAACAAGAAGGGAGACAAGTCTCCCTGTGATAGTCACTGGGGGATCAGTTTGACTAATATAGTATCTGAAGTTCTAGGCTCAATAATCACGCGTACACTAAGTGGTTCACTAACTCTTCTCTCAGAAGCATGGTGTTCATCAGTAAGTTGATGGGACAGCCTTTTAGGGACCTTCTATTAGCTTGGCACCAGAGAGTTTGTTTGTTTGGCAGTTTGTTTTGTTGTGGAACAAGTGTTTAATTTTACAAGGTATGCGACTGACCTATTTTAGAACACCGCCCATTTACTCTCAGTGGACTCCGGTTGGTTGACAAGCTTAAACTAGAGGTAGTGAAACGACAATTTCCTTTTAGATCTCTCGATTCAGATTTTGGTCTTCACAGTGCTGGGCGTCGCAACAGACTGAAAATAGAAACACTCTGGAAGAGACGTCTTAAGTTAGACCTTATTTTATTCTACAAATTAACTAATATTCCCTTGCATTCCTTCAGGACCATGACAAAATCCATCTGTCATCAGTTAGTCTTAGAAATCATGACAACTTAGTGGCTATCGAGCCTTGTCAGACCTATATGCGGTCCAATTTATTAAGTAAGTTTTTAGTCAATGGGAATAGAATATCAAGTAATGTGTGTGACACAAACACACTTGCAGCACTCATCTCCCCAGTCACTAGACTCCCTGAAGGTGATAGTTCTCTCCTCTGTCAAACTTCTACATCTTTTTCAGCTCACATAAATGTACTTGGTCCGCTGAACGTATTAGTAACAACAATCTTCATTGACAACTGTTAGTGTAAGTGCAATATCGCTTGAAATTAAGTCACGCGTAGATAAAGGCTATCCCGGTCCAGAACAAACAAGAAGATGGTCACTGTTTCTAGGGTACTATTAATAAACAAATCAATAATTATATATACAACAAACCTTAATGGTTTCAAGAGTACAGAGCACAACGCTTAACAGAAAGCAAGGTATCGCTATCAGACCGGAATAACGTTAAAGCCAAAATTGCGAACTTGCCGGAGTCAGACACAACCGTTCAGGTAAGCAGTCGGTAGAAGAATGAACTCAAGTAAGAGATAGACAGAGCATAGGCACAAAGATTGAATTTAATTGGCTACTCAACCAATCAGTAAATAAGATAAACTCGACAGAATAGTACAAAGTAAGACATGGGTCAGCAAAATAACAGTTCACAAAAATACTCTGATTGGGTCATGAGTTCAACTGTCAGTCTAAACGGATCGAAGTAAAAACACACACAGTTCATTAAACAAGGTGGGATAAGCACGTTAGGCATGGATAATTGGGTTGCAACAACGCTAGGCTGATCCGAGACAGGTCAACTTGATGCAAGGATGGGAATTTAATTGATCTTACAGTTAGGATTATTGGAAGAACACGTTGGAAATTTCTAGGCGGGAAATAAGTATTTGATCACACTTTTAATACAGCCGTGAGCATAAAAGAACTAGTTAGCGCGTCATTGGAAATTACGGTGTCTATACAAAGTTTATGTATGTATTCGCCTATCACTCTCCAAGGATTCCTCGTGCTTCTTGCTACGTTATTGCCTTATGTCTCCTTTTTCACTATTTCAGCTGGCATTTAATTATCTGGACGATGATGAATACTGTATACGTTTGGTGACTAACATTAACAGTCTGAAGGTACGTGAAAACCTAACTGGTCAAGAGTGCTATGAATGCCTTACAAAACACTGCATACGATATCTACATATTCATATTTAATTAGGAGTGTATTCTACTACTTTGGGCAACATACGATTTTAGCGGTAAATAATTCCCCAAAATTATTGACCACAGCAATCATCACTCAACATTGGATGCTGACCCTCACTGTTTAAGTCGACTTGTTTGGATGAAGGCTTCCGGTCAAGCATCCCCGCCATTTGGTACTCCGTCGTGTCACGTGCGTGCACGATTACTAGCTAGCTAAGCATTCAGTTCAACCCGCGATTGGGTCCCGAAATATATTACGTACTTTGGCCGACTAAATCTGGTCTTTTGCTTTATCTTTGGTGCTCGAAGAGCGAACACTATAGAAGTTGTTGGTATAAGATCTTGCGTTAGTATACTCCGTACAGTTCGCGAACGTCGATACCATCAACCTCTAAACGATATTCACAATTGGAATTTGTGAAATCTCATCTTCTGAAACAATTTCTTAACAACCATAACTAAAGGATTTTTATCCTTGGGAAATACAGTTTAAGGAAAGTTTGGCTTTATGTTTTCACACCCATATCCGTTTATCGGTTATTTCCGTTGGTTCGATAAAAAGAAAATATTTTGATATCCTGAAGAGTTTTGTTCAGAAATTAAGGTGACCTCTGTTTCTATAATGGTTAATTCTGTCAGACATGTAGAAGCTGACTTCTAATACTCGCCAGTCAACTAAAGACCACTATACCGCTGATGATTTTACCTCCTATCAGCAAACACATCCCAGGTTATGGTATCCAACATAATGGAGGAACTGGTTGAAAATGCGTCTCGTAGCAAAATTTACATCAAACACTCCAAACAGCGGGGACTATCGCGATTCGCCTGAGACGAACGGAGCCCTGTGTGCAGAAGAAGCAAGTTCGGTCACTTCCACTGCCTTGGCTTTCAATAAAGACCATGAATTCATGAATTTGTATTATTATATTTACCAGTTTCTCTGATATCCATTGAGCTGTTATGTTGATGCTATCGATCTGCAGTCCATTGGTATCAATACTGATTTGATATTATTGAAACATTAATGTTGTTAATAACACTAATTTATTCACTGTTACGTATTTGTAACTGTAGAACATGATAATGAAATTATCGAAAATAATGTTTGTTCAGCAACCGTTCTTCTGAAAATTCGTAGACCGATAGCAAACGTACAGAACAAATTTGATGGTGTCATGCCTTTTAAACTTGCTTTTTGTATTCCGACACATCTCATGTGTCCGTCTTCTATATGCTAGTGGAGCGACTGGAATCCACCCTCAGAACCTCAGCTTATGTGTTTAAAATTAGTTCGTTCAGATGCATCCCCATTCTGACCATCTCTGTTTTAAATATCTTTACTTGTTGCAGAAGTTTTCTTCCTAATTCTAAACGATATTTAATTTAGTATTATATTTATTGTGCTCATTATCACTAAGAGATTCTTCTTTGAGCTGTGATTTGATCCAAGCTTTTAAACTTTTCTTTGAGGTTGTACACACCTTGCGTAAAACCAAACATTGAAGTGCACAACATCATTGCTTGCCAGTTACTCGAAGGGATGCCGATCTTTTGAGAGAGTCCAAGTGTGGGCGACAAAGGAGGTGAATAGTCTACAAAAAGAACTATGTGGTGAAAGGCTAAAGAAGCTAGGTCTTGAAATAATAGAAAAGATTTGTAGCTTAGCAATTAAACCAACCAGTTTAGAGAACACTACTATTTTCAGAAGTTAGGTCTTCCCACACTTGGTTACTGTCGGCTTACTGCCTATACGATTAAAAATGACGAGAATCACTTGAAGAACGGTATTCTGTTATCAGATAAGTGCGTGATTCATGAAGAATAGCGTTTCAGAGAGCAGAGGCTCGAGGGGCCTTCATTTCTTTCCTCTTCGACGTTCCCATCCCAGAAATTCTTTACTAATGGGTACGCATCTAAACTCATGCTTTACTACTACACATTCTCCTTCACCTTACTCTTCTGACTAATTCGTACGTTTGTTCACCTATTTGATTACTATTACTTATGTATACTTTTTGACTTCAAATTGCAATATGCACATGTTAATATGTTTTCATATTTGTGTTTAAGTCTACATAATCTACGCTAATTATATCTAGTGACACTGTCTACCTTTTCGGCCTCACCGGACAACTAACGGGTGAAAACCAAACTCCATTCACTGTAGTGATACAGCCTTTACACACTACATACAGCAAACCACAAATCCAGCAGCACCCATGCGGGAGTCAACCAAGTCTGTGACAGACGAGTGACGGGAGAGACTACGCAGAAGCTTACCAAAGACTGAAAAACTTCATACTGCAACAAAAAAACTGGCAGAACGAAACAGATTTGATATACACCATCTCATGAGGATTGCATTGGATACTGATCTCGGAGTTACCGCCGTGTATTTTGAATGTTTACGTAACAGTGAGTTTCCGTCGTTTGTTTTCATATGTTGCGGTTTAATGGCATCCTTTTCGCTGTTGGAATAATTAAATACATGGAATAAAAAAGATAAAAGTTTTGCCTAATTGTCTCAGCATAGCTCTGCTTAATGGAGTAACGTATATAAGTATATATATATGTAGTATATCAAACTAATTTTCTGTCATATTTTACTGATACATTTTTTCCGTTGAGTGTATACTTGATTGTAAGACAGTTGAGTTCTCTAGATTTGCATAACCCGATATCCTGAGACGAACTCTTTTTGTCTTTATGTTTATAACAACACATTTAGGCGAACAATATTGTTTTCAAGTACATCTCTTCCGGCCTAACTCTAATGGACATAACTTTACAAATAAAAATTCAAATATAAATCAGTTATGGTGTTTTGCCTATCCGACAATAAGATGGTGAATAAAAATTGTGCAATGAGTCATAACAGTGATAATAATAATCGTTTTATATTTTCTTTCTTCCAGTTAACTCATTTTGGTTTGAATTCATTTACACTGAGCTCATTTTCTTAGATAAGGCTAGTAATAATACCCAGTTGTTTAAGCTGAAGTAGGTGGAGAGCAACTTGACCTCAAGGTTTATTGTTTGAAATTCGAGTGCTTAAGCTAATGAGGCGTGTATTCAGCCCACTTGATGGCGTCCAACACTTGGCACAGTTTTAGTATGAAGGTGGCTTTTAAGGTCGTCAATCTAAGTGCTGTGGTATTATCTGCCTGTGACTTGAGTACCGATACAGTGTGTTTTGTTAATCAAGGCACTCCAACTGAACTCATCGTGAGAGCTTTCAGAGACAGATGTAGTATAGAGTTATTACAACCAGCGGTGCTTGTGACATTAACTCTGTCACTGTTGTTATTTGATTTAAAAATAACTGTATTGGTGAGTATGATTTCAGTCGACTGACCTACGAGTTCGAATTCTTGACTTAGAGTATTTAGATGATGTAGTCATTTTAGGTAAACCTTGTCATTTCACAAAGTCTCCTGGATTCCATGGACAAAAATCAGATCATGCATGGTATGTGCTTCGCATTTATTACCTGTGAAATGATACTTCAAGACTGATTCGTTTACCATGTACCAACTTGCATCATCTGCGCATCTTCCAACCAAAGGAAGTATGTGGTGTGCTGTTGTTTTCTCTGTTGTACAGTACGGCTGCAACTAATCACCGATGAAGGTAAAATGTATGAAATCATTAAAGGTAATTAGTGTATTGTAACAATTTAATTAGAAGCGTAGTGTTAGGTATGAAGCCAGAATAAATCGATGAGATTGTGAATTCTTCTCGATTCATATGGCTGGGACGTACAGTCTACTTCTTAGAAGAGTAGTGTCGAGTAGTCCATAAATAGATTATTCTTATGATTGCTATTTATTCCTTTTGCTGGTAGTGGGACATAGGAACATTGCCATTACACTCTGTCCTCTGTGATCACATTCAACTGGCTCCACGACTGCTCACAAGCTCGCATTTCCTCTTCACGTGATCTCCATATCACTCTTGAATGTCCAACCATTCATTTCCTATTCAGGTTCGTCGCGATGGTCTGTCTGGTGTGTGATATCACTTGTGAAGACTGTAGATTGAGTCCAAAAAATATATAGGCCATAATATAGCATCCATCTATGGATTATATGACGAGGTTGTCGATACGTTGAGAACCAATAATCGACAAAGAATCTTAATAACATTAAACATGTTGACATTGATACATATTTATTTTGCTCTTTTTATCATTTTCCAAGTGTTTAAACATTCTCGCTGATCTTCATTGTGCCGTTCTTTATTAAACTTTTCCTCAACATTGTTGTGTCCATCCTCTGCACCATTACATCGACTGAGATGGTTAGGACATGTGTTACGTATGCCTAGTCATCGCCTTCCTCGACGGGCAGTGTTATCTGATATAGGGTCAGGCTCGAAAAGAGCTAGCGGTGGTCAAACGAAAACATGGCACCAGTCAATGAAATCTACAACAGTTAGTCTAAGACACGTAGGAAGGTGTAGACTTCCTGGTTGGGGTCCTCGAGACGGTAAAAACCAATGGTTGAAAACAATTGGTGACATGGCTCAAAATCGTTCTCAATGGCTGGCGGAGATGCATCCACTTCTTGTGACTTATGATTTCCAATGAAACTGTTTTGTTCTTCGTTATTACTATACCTTTGTCTCACACCTCTGTTTACTGTCTTTATATGCATTCCTCCTACTTTCTTCTCTTTCTTTGTGTGCTACATGGAGTGTGGCGACTTGAACTGCCGCACATATGTGCAAAGTTCTATGTCGAAAACCGACCGACTGACTTTTGCACCATGCCCTCATAAACGTGCTGGTACAATTTAGGGTAGGTTGACTTCGGTCTTCTTCTCGAAATATTTTCACATGATCGCGCGTTCATAACACCTACCAGACAAGTCCTCTAAACTGCCTTCATATGGCGGGTTTTCTTTGCAAAAGTTAAAAAGCAAATGCGAACGTCTGGCGCTTACAGCTGGATTGATAAACATGCAGATATACCTAAAAGGGCTACAAAACCCCGATCCCAAGCATATGATGTACATGGGCTCCAGAATTTGAAATGATCGGATGGCGTATGAACCTGTTTTGGTCACTAGCAAACATAAGGAGGTAGCTCCTGACTATGCTCCACTGCCTTATGGGTTAGACTTCACGTCAGTGGTTCCAGGGGGTTGGCTCCTTAAGACAACCACCATCTACTTTGGTCTGGGTGCTTGGATAGTATCTCAGCCCTGTCACAAAGTATGAGATTTTGTGTGATGTATCTTCTGCAGGCCATAATGTACCAAGTTTGTACTTTAACAACATGACAACATGTACACCAACTTACACCATCTTTATTTTCTTCGAGATATGCCTTTGTGTGTATCGGTGAGCATGTTTGCTAGACGCCAATTGGCAACCGTTCTGCTCTGGATTTGAAACATTTTTAAATGTCGAATGTTGGAAAAGTTAATAGACAGGAACACTAAGCAGGAATGATTAGACTGTGTGGGTTATATGGGCTGCCAAAAGTGCATAAAAAGGACTATAAGATTAGTGGAACAACACTTTTACGGAAAAGTAAGGGAAACTGAATTGAGAATAGAGTTTGACAAAGGATTAATAATGATCAGACCAAAACACTGTCGTTTCATCATAGAATAACTTTATTTGTTAGAAAACAGTGATTGATACAGTGTTATTTGGTTACAGATGTTGTTTCAAGTACAAATCGCTATTGCATGCAATCATATCGAGGCACTTGCATAACTTTTAAACTTTGTTTATGTAATTCCATTATTCCTTGTCTTTTGATTTATTAGTAGTAATATTTTTCAAATCTCTGGTATTTATCATAATAAGAGTAGCTTCATTGCAAACATTACTCATCTAGTACATATATAAAATTTTCAGCATGTAGTACAGTATTACATCTAATTCTCTGATTATCGGGGTAGTGATTAAAACGGAGCATTTAAATTGATAATATCGTTCAATAAAAATGTGAATATAAGGTTAAATTAAGCGAAAATATCAAAAACAACTATACAATAATGAAAAAGGGAGTCATTTACCTAGCATTTCGCCATAAGTTGGTAGTGTCCTGCCTTACACTTTTCTCATCACATAAAATGTGTCCCGACCAAATACGGTATTGTAGAGTTTTTATACTTAATCGTACGACCACATAGTCTTCTATAGTCGCTTCTAGCTGTACCTGATGAGGTGCACGAAGAGTAGTGTGTAGAGAGGATGCTCAGGGCTGACAACATGATATTCGCTAATTTCTTGCATAAGTCTATATGCCTATCTACAACAGTATTAACGAGTTGGTTTAGCGACATCCCATTCGCCCTATTGACAGGTTTTAGTCCCCTTCTCAGTGTAATAATCTTTCTTAAGTAGCCCAGGAAAGACAAAGGGGGGGAGGCAAGTTATATATATATATATACTGAGGCGTATTCATTTGGAGTTTTCCATTGTGTTCAGTATTGTTTAGTCTACTGGCTGCTGTACTTCGTTTAGTCGAACATTAGTATCAAGCGAAATGGTACTAAAATCCGCTGTGAATGAACTAGTTAGGTCCTGAGTCGTCATATCCTATTTAGAGGTTTTTGATGCTCTAGTAAAATAACTTCCATTCCTATATAAGCTATCTAACTGTCTGTTTCCAACGTAAAACTTTGCACAAAAGACCAGCAGTTCAAGTTGACAAACTTTATAAAACACATAAGTGTCGAGAACAAAAATGCGAGGAAACTCTTTAATGAAATGCATTGGAGAAACAATAAGTAGATGGGAACGAGATTACAAAGAGTGAATGCACCTGTAAAATTGAAAAAAATTTCAACCACATCACCAAAAATCTCAAGCCATTAGTTCTTTTTATCCTAACGACTCCAATTAGTCAGGTAGTTTACATCTTCCTACGCGTCTGGCTCAAGCCGGCAACAGAAGACTTCATAGATTGATGTCATGTTTTGATTTGACCATTCTACTCAACTATTTTCTAATTGAATACTGTGTAACCTAACACATTGCTCAACGAAGAAAGTGATAACTACACTAGCTGTTGTTCGATTCAGTGTTTTTTTTCAATCGAATTAAGTCAGGCTTCAAACCCGGCGTGTAAACGATTCTATGAACTGTTATACGATATGTCGTCTCTTTCCTTTTTTATTGTTGTTAGTTTCTAAAAGTGAGAGGATAGTATTTCAAATGACAATTATTTGAAATTGCATAAAGCTATTAAAACTTTCAAACCTCACCTAGTTTATTAGCCTGTCATCAGTTCAAAAAATAAGGAAATTTGAGTGGGATTAGCACACACACCCCTAGTGAAACTTTAAACCACCGAAAAAGAAACCAAACTCCACTGGAACCAGAAAGAAAGCCTCCTGGTGTTGTGAAGGTTTTTAAGAAGAAACCAGTCGACTAATTTAACTCACTGCCTTACCTCGCTAAGCCGGCAATAGGACTGGTGAAGAGGGGAGGTTGGGTATGAGGCTAGCAACCCCATCCCGTAAAAGTAAAGCACCACTGCTACCGAAACCTCAAGCCTCTAGACTGAAACTCGATGTCCCACTTGGTACGTAAAGGAATAAAAGAAAAAAGTTGTCCTCTTGATTCTATGAAAGCGAAAAGTTAAGCAATAGGAACTAGACATGGACAATTGATGAAAGTGACTACAGAGAACAGAATGCATGCGAAATGTATGCCCTGCTGACTGCCTTATGTTCCACTGGGAACGCAGACAATAAATGAATGAGTGAATAAATAATACTCAATAAAAAGTTCACTTAATAACAAATAACCTTTAAACATCTGTTCCCCTTTTCATCAACAAAATAAACTCACAACGTGAGTTATTCACAATATGTGTCATCCCATTATTTATTTGTTTATTTATTATTATAATTATATACATACATTTTAGAATTTTCTTCATTGGCCTAATTTTCTACAAAAGTAGGGGAGTATAAATGTGATTCTATGCTGTCTTTCTTTCCTTCTTTTTCTAACCAGGCTGATAGGAGGAGAAAACATGAACAATCCTATTACTACTACTACTACTACTAATACTACTAATAATAATATTGTTAATGATGATGTTCTTGTTCTTGTTGATCGTGAGACAGACACATATATTTCAGTGTTTTAATCTAACCTTTCCTTGTAAATGATATATATTTATATATGCATTAGTTTCATAAGTGACTGAGCAAGCACACGATTGTATGTGTACATGTTAATCAAACACTTTTTTGGGATCTATTATAGAAACAGAAAAGAATCTAGTTGAATAATAAAAAATTCTAATTACACGTACATAAATATCTCAAAATTTCTTCTGGTTTTTCATCTGTGTGTTCTTATAAACGTTTGGATTAACTGTGACACTAAATGCATATACATATATTTATATATATTTAATGTGGTTACATAATATTTAATTGATTACAATGACAGAGAGAACATCATCAATGAATAAAACAAATAAACGCTTACAACAAACCCAAGCACAAGTAAATGAAGTCGTTGATATCATGAGAGTAAATGTTGATAAAGTATTAGAAAGAGATAAAAATCTCTCAGAACTTGATGGACGAGCTGGTAAGTTCATTTTGCATATATATATATATATATATATATATTCAACGTGCCTATTATAAGCATTTTACGAAGACTGACATTTTTCGACAACTTCTTCAACAGGTTCTGCTGCCAAGCCACCACTTTCCCTGTGTGTTGGCTAACATAGGATTAAGTTGGGGTAAGCTAGGCATGGTCAAGTCAAAACCTGAAGTCTTTGACGTGGAGATATGCAGACTGCCTGGTTTGTTTGGGGTCCTTGGAATCATATAGGAATTAATGGCTTACGCCTGTTGATGTGATATGGCTTAGAACTGTTGTCGATGGCACAAATGCACTCACTCGTTGTAATCCCCTAGATCTATTAAGTTCTAACGTTTTTCCATGTTATTATATTTTTATCTCCTATAGATTTCTGTTAATCATAGTTCCTTCACATTTTTCGCCTCTACGTGTATGTATGCTTCATGCAGTGTATCAACTTAAACCGGTGTAATTTTGTGCAAAGTTTTACGTTGAAACTTAGTCAGTCAGTCAGTCGTCAGATGTGCTACAGTTTTATGTATCCATAATAGTTACAGATTATATCGTATTGACATCATTAATGCGTTTTTTCTTAAATAACATTGAATCAAGAAGTATACGGGAATAGATTGGTACTCATAGACTACGCGTGTTACCGTGTGGTCAGTTATGTCGGCTGTTGTTCTAGAAACTTGCTGGAGAACACCTACCTGTATAACTGAATAAAGGTGCAATACAATCATGAATAGCTTGATATTAACACACCTAGTACAAACAAAGCATAAGACTAGTCTAGAAGAATCCTCCTCTATTGTGTATTGTGTACCAAATGAATTGTCTAAATGTACTATAAATGTATATATGTATACTGCAAAATATGTATATATCAGGTATGGCCCACACCCTAATACGCTAGTGGATAGACTGGTATGTTACTGCGATATGACATAAGATATATTAAAATGCTGCATTCATTTAAATTTAAATTGTTTGAGTTCCTAGTAGAACAAATGACTTAAAGTATTTCTTACTTCAATTTGGATTTTCCCGTTGATTTATTCGACCTAAGTGTTCGGCCCAAGTGATCTAGTGAATAACGCGTTGGCGTTTAAAACGGTGGGTACTGCGTTCGGGCCTCAGTGGGAGCACTATCACCCACTGGGGAATGCAGGCACATCCAGTGACGAGTACTGAATAGGGCGAAATGCGCATCTTAGATTCCACTGCTAGTCACCATCCACCGTAGGGGTTCAAGCTTTCAAGTTTTACCGGCGGTAATGCCGTTTTTGTTTAACCTGAAGCGGGAGGGTAATAGTCTTACAACCAGCCATCACTCTTTTCTAGGCTTTCTACTGGCTACTAATAAATTAGGCAATATTTTATGAGCGTGCGTGTACTGAGAAGGGGATGTGGATCTCTTGAGTATCTGGCAAGCATTCTACCACTGAAAATCACCGAAACATATCTTATTTATTATTTTTTTAGTCTGCAGTATTTAAAATCATAACTTTCTTATAATGCAGTGTTTAATGCAATCTAATACACAATCTTCAGATATTTCAACTATAAATATGTACACCCTAACGACCAACGCAACCATGGGTCCGTGGGAGGAGTTAAATTCTATTGATAAAGAATGTTAACTATCATGTTCCAATTCATGAGTAATACAAAAATAAAGAGTGGGTTCTAACTGATTCGGTTCATTGGTTGGATCGTTTTAAGTACAAAATACAGAATCTTCGAAACATCTTGAGCAGCAGTCTTGGTATGTTTGGTGTGTGACTCACCCCTGTCAAATTTAATATTGATGCTGCAGGACTGGCTTGGACTGACTTATAGTTGATCACTTCACTTATTCGGGAAGTTATATCAGCCCTAATCGCGACTTACTTCTGATGAAATTCCAGCGCGAATACAAAAGGCTCATGTGGCGTTTATCAACTTACGTTGTCTCCAGCTTTGACATGAAGTATGGCTATCGATCGAGGGCAGTATATGCTGCTTAGCAGTCCGCTCTATCCTTCTTTACAACTGTGAGTAAGATGTGACCGTTGGAAGTGAAGAACTTGAAGCGACTGGCTGTTTTTGACCTTCAGTGTTTGTCTTCTATTTCCTGTGTTGTGTTATGATGTGGTCAGTAATAGGTTAAGCTTTATGAGATATAATTGTTAATCCTTTGCTTCCCTAGTGGACCATGAGACTACCGCGGGTCACATTGCCATTGCGCTGTTTTCTCTGCAATCACTTTCATCTAGCTGCCCCACCCATAAGAATTCATTTCCTTTTCATCACATGATCTCTGTGTCACTCTTGAACCAACGCCCAACTCGTCGTACCCCATTCTAGTTCCACTTGTTCACACCACCCCATTATTATCATCATTGCTATTTGGTCACCCTTTGGATATTTACACTAAGCTTAATCTATATCTCCATCATTTTAATATTCAAATAACTTGGCAGGATGGAGAATTTGTGGAGTTTGGTTGTTTCGTCTAGAACCGAATGGTTTATAGTTGCGAAGCAACTCTTAATCGTTGTTCCCCTTCTAAACACAACACTTCAGTATGTATGTAGTGAGTTTTTTCTTGTTTTTGAAATTCTGCACAAGGATAATAAAAACTGCCGAAGACAACAAATACAGTCACACTAAAGATCATCAGAAGGTGGACAAGGAAAACTGCAACTCATGTAACAACCTAGTCCCATCAGTAGCATCCACCCTTAGGCTATAAATCCTTTTTATTTAAAATAACGAGTTCTGTTAGCTGTGAAGCGTATAAAAGTATAAATATAATAATATAAGTATGAAATAATCAGTGTGAAAGAGGAAAGAAAGGAATGATGTAGTTAACAGTAACTGACATCGACTTTTAGCTCTTATCTCTATTAGCCTGTCATCATCATTAAAAAAGCTAAAACAATACGAGTAGTTGAAGTTATTGTCATTTATTCATTTCTGAATATTGAGTAGTGCACGATACTGTCAGGGCATGTCAGTGTCATAGGAAATAGATGCGAATAGATATCCATTATACCTATTGTCGTATTTTCATTGATTATATGCACACTTATTTACTACTTTTGCAAAAAGCGCTTACAGGCAGTGTCATTATTATTGTTGCTATTATTATTCCCTTAAGTTCTGTGTGAAACATAGGGCTTCACAGTCACACCATCTCCTTTATGTCACCCTTGATGCTTATCCAACTCCTCATTTCCCAATTCGAGTTACACTCGATAAACTGTCTGGCGCATCATATCATTCAGCGTCCTCCTAAGTGTGTTTCCAGCCCACTTTAATTTCCTTCGGTATATTTATTTGGTAGTAGGTTCTTGGTGAGTTCATTTCCTTCTTTCACTGTCTTCTCTACGCTGACTTGAAGTCCCGTCTTCACTACCAACCTCTTCTCCCGGCTTGTTGATTTTTGCTTATAGATGTTCGATTTTATATGACATTAAACATAAATCATCCGCGAAGTCTCCAGGTGTTTCAATGTCATTTAGTCACTTGGCTTTCTTCTCGCTCCCCACTCGTGGCGTCCCACATGATCCAAACCCACCGCAATCACGAACATCATTGATGTTAGTAGGTAGCCTTGTCTTACTCCTGTCTTCACGCCAAACGTCTCGCTGAGCTGTGGATTACTTGTCATATGACCTCACCATGTAGCTCTTGAATGAGATAGTATCATAATACCATGATATTTCCTCATGTATTCATTAGAAAAAGTGTATTATAAGGCACATTATACACAATTAATACTGAATTAAAAAAAGACACGGGTCACGATGACAATATTCCTTCGGTAACTTCACCTAAGAAAGCTGTATAGTGTGCTGCTGAAAGGTCATTCATAAAAACAGAAATATCAAAAGTAAGCAGAAGTTAGTTATGTAAACCTGAAATTCTTCTCCGCATGTTTACGTCTGACATTCTCCAAACAACCTTTTGTCCATTGAGAAGTGTGAAAGTAAATGTTCCACTGTTGAAAAAATCGATATATATATATATCAGCTGATTTGCTCCTGTGGAGGTAAGTACTTAAGGCCATACCACTACGATACTTTCTAGCCGTGCACAAGAAAATCTCTAAAATGGAGCAATTAAACGAAGCATTTTGCCCACCTTATTCTTATAAATCATTCCTTGTCAACAGCTAAGGCCAATTCGTTGGAAGCATTTCCAGTCGCAACATCTGTCCACAGCAGAGGTTCTTGCTACACACAAAGGAAATACATATATATATATGTATAATGTTGGGTAAGGAGGGTAATTTAATCAATGAGGTTGTGAAGCTACATCGATTAAAATAGCTAGGGCATGTATTACTCATACCAAGCCACCGTCTTTCTCGAAGGGTAATGTTATCTGGAAAAGAGTTAGGGTTCGTCAAACCTGACATTAATCCATGTAAGAAGATGTAGACTGCCTGGTTGACTGAGATCCACGAGATGCTAAGAACCAACAGCTTGGTAATGTTGGTAATATAGCACAAAATCATGCTCACTGGCGCAGGTTCACTCACTCTTTGTAGTCTCCTCGACGCTTTAATTCCTCATGTTTTTCCATGTTACTATTCTTTCTTCGGTACATTTCTGCTTATTGCAATTCCTATGAACTTCTTTTTTCCCTTTGTTTGCTTCATGGTAAGCTGAACTCGTGCACTTCTGTGCAAAGTTCTTCGCTGAAAAACCATCATACGCATTTGTTCTTGTCTTTACCGTTTACTTCTCCAACTCTTAATATTAAAATATATCTTGTACACGTGCTGAATTTTTGTTATTCGCTCATGTAGGCAACATTCCTGTCTCAAGTATTCATAATTCTAACCATAATCATTACGTAAAACTACTATATAACTAAACTTCTTAATTTTAGTCACTTTTGTCTTCCTGATATATGGAATTTCGTATGTTTTGATAGCTAGCTGGTATCAATAATTGACTTTAATTAGCATTTTCATGCAGATATGGGCCTTTGATGAACACAGTTTTTGACTGTACTACAGAAGTGATGAAAACTGATAATGAGGAGAATATTCATTACTGATGACTTATGCTTTTTTAATCAAACGCCACATAAACGTGAAATCACTAATTATCATAATTCAGACATTATATATATATATATATATATATATATAATTTTCCCGTGGGTTCCCAGTGGAACATAGGGCTCCAACAATACATCTTTACTTTTTGCTGTTCGGTTCTGTCCTCTTCAGCTGGATCCACGATTGCCTATAATCTCTCGTCGCCTCTCACGATCTCCTCCATGTCAACCTCACATTGATGGCCCATTCTTCGCTTCCCATTGGGGTTGCACTTGAAGGCCACTCGATGGGCTCCTCAGTGTGTATCCTATCCATCTCCATTTTCTTCTACTTATTTGTTGAGCAGTCGGTTCTTGGTTGGTTTCTTTTTTTCATACGGAATACATTTTAATGGGAAACTAATTACCTAAATTTGATATCCATTCTTGGAAAAAGGTCGAGTCAGATAAGATTCCTGAGTGAGATTTTACGCAAATATTACGCGTTATATACTCAGTTGGTTGGTGATAGTGGCCAGTTAGTTAGTGGAGCGCAGGACACTAATTTCTCTCCCTTTCTTAGGACTCATCAGATGTGAGAATGATTGTGTGTTCTAGTTATGAGATCCAAAGTACGACATGCTAAGCTACTGAGCTTACTAGAATACAGGTAAGTAGGCACATTTAACTGATAGGTCCCAAATAAGGATGAATACATATCCTGAATCATCAACCGATAGCTGCTACCTTGATGTGGTGGTGGTGGTGGGGCTTGCATATCACAATGACCCACAACGATCTACACCGACTGGAACTGATGCTCCCGTAGGTCCACGGTTTACACCATGTTGGAGGTCTGCGGGCGAAGTTGTACTGCTGGTACTGAGGATGCAACAGCAGTAAGATGTTTTCTTCAGATGACGAACACACCAGCTACGCCGCCTTTCCACCCTGCAGAGGGATAGTTGGGGAAGGTTGACCTCGAAGATTATGCATCCTGACTTACTTTGCGCCGTTCCGTAGCCGGCTATAAGATCTGAATATGGGCACATCTACAAAAACCACTTCAAACAGGTCATGTTTATATGACTAATTTGAAAAAGTTATCGCCTTGGCTGTGTGGTCTCGCAACACTAATGCTTTTTCTGTTTCATGTAAGCGAAGAAGAAATCAAAATCCCACTGAAAGGCACCATCAACTGAATAACGTTATGTTATTAAACTTCAAGTCATTGTTAAAGATGTGCATACTTACAGTTGACATTGTTAACAGAGGCTGAGTATTTTGGTCGCGTGAAGTCAACTATTGAAAATAGCTGCTATTGACTTGAAATCCAGTCTTTGTGTAAATATTCAGTCACACCTTAAGCGGAGTTCTCATATATTTATTTTAAATACGGTATTTATTAACTCTTGAAACAGTTATATTTGATGGAAACAGTGAAGAGTATTCTGTAACGTACTGCTAGCTATTTAGGGTATATCACTTTGACATAAATACTCAAAACATTTTTAGCCAATCATTATTTTTCACATCATATTGTATCGAATGTGACGTGATATTTACTTAGTGCATGTATCCGGGCACTGTTAGCTTGCGGAATGATCGATAAATAGGTTACCACGATGTTAGATAGAAGTTAGTACTCGTCGGGAATTAGATGAAGTTTCAGTGGTTGAATTGTCAGTGGGGTCATTGTGTAACTCCAACATAACTGCAGTTATTATTACTGATATAAGAATATTATTATTACTCCCTTGGGTTCCGAGTGGAAAATAGGACTTCAACAGTACATCGCAATTTCACTTTGTTCTCTTCAGTCTTTCGTAACTAATACAACAATGCTTATCCCATAAGCTTTCATTTCCTCCTCTTCACTCGGTCTCTTCCATTTCATCCTCGGACGTTTCACTCGTCACTTCTCATTCGGGTTACACTCGAAGGCCTGCTTAGCAAGTCACTCAACAGTCTCTGAGTGTATTTCCAATCCATCTCATCTCCATTTCCTTCTGCAAACTTTTTGGCCGATAGGTTATTGGTTGATACATTGCCAGAGTACCGTGTCCCCCATCCTTTCCGCCCCCTCATCTGATCTTTAATATCAAGACGGCAAAGGTATTTGTTGATGAAAGTCTTCAGCAGACTTCATGATTTGCCAGGTCTTTGAACTATATTGAAACGCTCAATGAGTTGAAATTAATATATCCCAACCTGGATGCAACTGGATAGTAGTCTAATCAGGTGTCACTTGCACATTAAATGTGAACCGCAGCCTGATGTATAAGAAACCTGACCGACTGGGTTTCAACATACAACTATGCACAAAAGTGTAGTGCATGAAGTTGCCAGACACCATGTAGCACACAAAGAGAAAAAAGAAATGCAAAAGAACTAAAATGAGCAGGAGTTTACAAGAGGAATAAAATAGTAACACGGAAAAACGACAGCGTTTAGAGGATATGGGACATTAAAAAGAGTGAATACATTTGCGACATTGAGAAGGAAAGTATTTTGATCCATACTACCAACAGTCTCTAGCCATTTGATTCCTAGCGTCTTGAGAACACTAACTAAGCAGTCTGCACTTCCCTACGTTGCTGGCTCAGTATTCGCAACACTTCCACAGCCAACGTAATCTATATGACTTCAAAACTTCATTGGCTGATTTAACTTCCTTACCTAACAGCCTACATCGAACCTCAGTATTACTCACCCAAATTATACCGCTTAAGATGGGCATTGGAACAAAAACATCTGTGGTCAAAGACAGCTAACCGTTTCGTATATCTTCTACTTTTAATGGCCATTTTGGCATCATCTGTAAAGAAGGACAGAGCGAACTACTATGCAGCGCAGTGCACATGTACTTTGATCGATGGTTAAGTACCACATCGTCAGGAAAGATGATGTAAGCCACCAAATACCTTCATAGGATGAAAGCTGTCAGTTAAATTTTGTTTGCTATTAGGATCGATTGCATTTGTACTTGTACTTGTTAGAGGTTGGTTCTAGAAATAATGCTTATATTATTTATTATTATTATTCACTTATTTTATTACTTCTACTAGATGCATTACAAGCTGGTGCTTCACAGTTTGAAGCAAGCGCTGGTAAACTGAAAAGGAAATTTTGGTGGAAAAATTGTAAAGTAAGCTTACAAGTGTATTGTTATTATGATTATTAATTGTTTATATTGCCTATTGAATATTTCAGTTGATCGCCTTCAGTTTCCCCGCTTGCCTTCTCTAGCCACCACCAGCCATTAAAAGTTCGGTTAAATGGCAGTAGTATCAAGAGATTGCATAAAAATGTTGACATGAATTGTGGCTGTATCTAATCAACTACAATTATGTATATATATATATATATATACATATATATATATATGCGAAATTGTGCTGTCTTTTTTTTCCATATTCATGTGATATTTTCATCCATTGATGCGTTATTTTTAAACTCAGTTATCTGGAATAGATTTTACATGTACTTGACTAAGAGCCACACTTATACCGTGTGAAAGGGTTGATGACAATTTAACGGTAGAAGACAAGAGATTTGGTAGCGGAATGTTTATTTGCGACTTGATATCGATAAACAGGAAAATTATGTGTATGCCTTATCTGAAAACCGTCATTTGTACAGATCTACCGTGTTTTGCCACTTCTACCCTTCTTTTCGTGTCTCCCATGTTTTGCTGCAACGCTGGTTCATTTACTGCCTTTGACGCCAAATCAATCTCTCAGCTATTTGATATTTTTGTGCCGATGAACGTCTGTTTTTATACTACTGACAAATCTTATCAGTGACCCATGGACTGAAAACGGAGTGCTGAAACCGGTGCTCCAAGACTGATATTATCATTTCATGTTGGAGTGATAAAAACACTTAATCCCCAGACATGGGAGAATCGTCCTCACTAGGAGCGCCGACATGTTTACAGAGGCCGAATAGTTTGTTCTAATCAACCAACAGCAAAATCAAGCTCAATTTTAAAACGAATAACATAGCTATTTCCTTTCATGCATTTTACTCACTAGTAGGTTACGAGCTCACAAGGCGCACTTCCATTGATCATTTACTGACTGTAGAAAAGTTGGTCTGTAATTGTATAAACGATACCACACACGCACACACCTGTTAACCAACAATAAACTGTTTACCATACAATTTTAGTAAATATTATAAGCAAACACGATTGTGTACAGTCTTTGAAGATGACTTTATCGTTGAAGAGAGAAGTTATTTTCTTTGCTAAATGGTCTTTTATATTCTGTTATTATTTAGATTATAAGTTTCTGTTGTAGGTGTCTGGATTAGTTTTAATGTAGATCTCGTTAAAAATTAATATCAGTTTGCGTATCGTTGAGAACCTTCAGGAATTACAGGGCAGCTGTTTTACCCCCCTCCCCCCGACTTAGGTCTCTTCATCAGTGCACAACACCCTTGACTTCCCCCCTGAATTGCTGCAATTCAGTTCCTTGAGGTGGTTACGAGGCCAAGCTAAGGGATCATTCAGCCACGTGTGTATTGACTGACTAGACGATTTTACTGCAGCTGATTGTATCGTCTCTCTAACCAATTGAGCGTCAGTGGTTCCTTGGTTGGAAATGACAGAAATTAGAGTACATGGCTGATTAAATTCCTGTCCAAGTGGCTGTATTATAATCAACAAGCTTGACTTTATAACCTGAAGGTCCTGAGTTAGATCCCTGGAAGTGGTAGTACTAGATGTTCACTGCTCAAGAGTTTTTTTCTTCTATTGGTACGTTTATTGCAATCATATTACTCTATCAGTGTCCAGAATCTCTTCCAATGTCCAACGACATGCCTATCTTTCTTTATTGTTCTCATTATATTTCTAAAACATTTATTAGGTTATTTGGTTTATATATCATTACTATTATTTGTATTATTATTATTATTTTTTGCTTATTCGTAATTTGATAGTTATTGATTATTCTAACTCACTCTGTCTCTCTTCCCCTCCTTCTATATCTCACTCTCACTGCCTCTTTATTCAGATGTTGACTGTATTGGCTCTGCTAGTGTTGATTTTAATAATCGTACTTATCGGTGAGACTATGATGTTGTACACTCACGTGTGTGTGTGTATGTGTATCTGTGTGTATTTCTATGCTTGCAATTAGAGTATTCCTATATGCATGCATTGAGGCTCAGATTGTTGTTGTAATTCTTGCTGGCGTCGCCTTTGTTTCATACATTCTCTGTCCGTTGATTAGTTTGAAGTACAAAGCATATATATATATATATATATTATATGGCTTTCATGGCTTTTCTTCAGTCGCCGACATTCTAAAATATGACATGTTAGTATCAATAAATATAAATGTATATATAACATAATTTAAAAAAATTATATTTCAACTCAATAGGGAATTTCATTAAGTCTTAGTAACACAGAAGTAGAATAAAGGGTATAAATACAATTCAATCTATTTTTGTCTATCTTCGAAACAGCCATGTTTTTTCCGTTGCTGTTGATTGAACCGAAATGTTCGGTCTCTGTTGTCATGTTATCTCCTTGTTCAGATGCTTCGACAGAACATCACTCATTAGGGGTTGCAGGTGCACCTGAATGACGAGTTCCGAATGGGACGAGATGTGCATCTTGGGTTCCACTGATAGTATTCACCCACCAATATAACACGTCATGTTAATCATCAGACATCATCGAAGTGTCCGTACCTACGTGAGTGCGGACAGGTTAACAGAGGCCAAACATTTCGGTCCAATCAATTGGCGCGAAAGACAAAATCGACCTGAACATATACTGGTTGACAATTGTTGTACAAGAGGTCATTCTTGTGACCTAAGTGGTCTGGTGGATAACGCTTTTGTGTTTGGAACAATAAATACTAGATTGGAATCTCAGTGGAAACACTATTATTCACTGGGGACATGGGTACATCCAGATGAAGAGTCCCAATTAGGATGGAATTCGCATCATATATCCCACTGCTATTCACCGTCTACCTGCTAACTGTTTTCATCCTCTCGACTTATGCGGTACATAGTGTATAACTTTAAAACTATCCGTATGGCTGATAGACTGACTGGTTTCAACATTGAACTTTGCACAGATGTACTGCAGTTCGAGTCGCTACATTTCACTTAGCGCACAAAGCAAGAGAAGAAAGTAAAGAGAAATGCGAGATAGAGACAGTAAACAGAGATGTGAGACAAAAGGAATAGCAATAACGAAGAACAATGTAGTTTCAACGGAAATCATAAGTCACAATGAGTGGATGCATCTGTTGCCAGCCATTGAGAACAACGATTTTGAGCCATATCACCGATTGTCTTCAGCCATTAGTTTCTACCGTCCCGAGGACCCCACCCAGGAAGTCCACATCGTCCTATGTGACTGGCTTAAATTAACTGTTACAAATTTCATTGACCACTACTAGCTCTTTTCCGATCAGATTCTATGTCAGCTAGCATTGCCCGTCGAGGAAGGCGATGGAAGGCTAGGCGTGCGCAACACATGTCCTAATCATCTCAATCGATGTAACTTCACAACCTCGTCTATTGATTTTTCCTCCTTACATAGCACTCGACGCCTAACCTCAATATTGCTCACCTTATTATACCACTTCACGCGGGAGATAGAACGCAGACACCTATGATCAAAGATAGCTAACTAAGCTTTTCATGTCTTCCATTATCAATGACCAGGTCTCACAGCCATAAAGGAGGACGGAGCGGACTGATGAGCAGTACACACGTCCTTTGGTCGATAGCCAACCGTATATCACGTCTACGCCAGAGACGACATTAACTGGCATATGCGAAACGAGCCCTCTATATCCGTGCTGAGATTTTGTGAGCGATCAACCCGTTTGCGTTAGCTGATGCAACTTCCAAAATAAGTGAAGTGGTCAACACGCTCTACCACTTCACTCCCTATTTCGAAGCTGGGAGTCAGTGTAGTCCAGTCCTGTAACATCATCTTTCATTTGGCGGGAGAGAATCGCATGGTGAACATTCGCAGATTGCAGCTCAAGGTGTTCAGAAGACTCTACTCTATTTTATCAGCGTCTTCCTCACCTGGCAGTGAGGACCAAATCATCTGCACATTCTAAGTCAGCGAGACTACTATTCCGTGGTAACAAGTCAATCCGTGAGTCTTTGAAGTGAGTTGGGGTTAATTCCATTAGTACGTCTATGGTGAAATTAAATAGAAATGGGAATAGTGGGCATCCTTGACGGACAGCACTGGTTGTCACCACTTCAGATGACAACTCATCGCATTCTCTCACCTGGCTGCGTGGGTTAGAGTGGAGTGAGTGCCTTGATCAGTGCAATGTATTTTCTCGGCATTCCCTTTACAGCCAAGCATCTCCAGAGTACCTCTCATTCGACAGAATCGAATGCCGCCTTTAGGTCAAGAAATATGATGATTATCGGACATCGGTAAGTATACCTATGTTCCAGAATCTGTCGAATGGTGAAGATATGATCAATACACCCTCTTCCTGGTTTTTGAAGCCTTCCTGGTTCTCTCGTGTTTGTTTCCCCCGTGGAACGCTTAGTGTACGCATGTTTATTGAGCCTAGGACTTTATATACCATATTAACCAAGCTTGTATATGGGGATAATCGATGACTTACCCCAAACCTGATGCTGCGTGGTACCTTAGTTAACGCGGACAGGAAACTGTCTCCACTGTGCTTAGGTACCTCTGGAGTCATTCCATTGGATCCTGCAGCTCTGCATCATTCAGACTAGAGACAGCCTTAGTAACTTCAGTTAGGGACGGAGGACTTGTGTCTATTTCCCATTCGTGGAAGTATTGGACGTTGAGAAGGTTGAGCTTGGCTGTAAGCCAATTAGATTGCACTTCAAAGTGCTCTTTCTAACGTTCTAGTCGTCTACCTCGACACCTAAATATGGTGCCATTTTTCTCGGAGATTGTTTCACTTATCATTTGCCTTTTACCACCAGTTTCCCTGATCAGCCTAAATAGTTGCCTGGTGTTACCAATCACGGGTGCCTTTTCCACCTCTTTCACTTTTGTCGCCTACTGCTGTTCGTGGTCGTTACGAAGACTTCATGTTGGTTTGCTTTGGAGTAGCTTTCGTTCTTCATCATATTCGGAGCTCACCGGAGTCAGTCTTCTTGCATCAATCAGTTCGGATGAGGTGGTAGAAACCCACTGGTTCTAACTAACTTTTGGTTTTAGCTTATTAGCAGCCTTTATAGCTATGTCTATAGCTAAGTGTATGTTGTACTATGCTTCCTCGGGCCTCGGGAAACTATCTGTATTCATATCTTCGTTGTCTTCCAAAGTCAACTTTTATTATACAAATTGTGGTACTACCAGAAAGAGGATTGATTTTGCGTGGCCGTTAAAATTGAAAGAATTTCAAGGGCTTATCTGTCTTTGACCACAGATGTTTGCATTCTGTTGTGTTAAGTGGTAAAATTTTATGATGTACAATATTAAATTTACTCCTAGTGCTAGGTAAGTAGGTTAAGTCAATCAATGGGGTTGTAAAGGTTAATTGACTGAGATGGCTAGGACACGTGTTGTGCATACCGGACTGCTACCTTACTCAACGGATGGTGTTTGCCAACATAGGATTAGTTTGGAAAGGAGTTTTGTAGTCCTTGACTGCTGACTTGTCCCAGCCATTTGGAGAGGTGTAGACTGCCTGGCCGGATTCCTCGAGACACTAAGAAGCAGTGACCGCAGACTGCTGATGACTGAAAATTGTGTTCAATGATTCAGATGCACTCACTCCCAAATTCGACAATTCCTCTCATTATTCTCCATCCAATTATGCATTATAGCTCCTGTGAATGTTTTCCCTACTTTTGTGTGCTATGTGGAATATGGTGAGTTAAACTACCGAACCTGTGCTATGAAAACACAGTCGGTCGGTTGATTCTGTCAAATGAAGATACTTGTACAGATAGTTCTTTCTTTTCATTTTAGCCAAGAAATTATTATTATTATTCGTTGTTGGCGTCTCACTAGGCACATAGACATTCAGTAGAACATATACACGCCACTCAATTTTCTGCTATCACGACCAACTTTCTTCCTAATTGTCCACTAGCTTTCACTTCATCTGTACATAATCTTTCCCGTGTGACCCTCGTATGCTCAACAGATTAGATTCCAAGTCAGGTTACACTCGACGGCCTGGGCAGCATGTGATGTCACTCACATGTCTCCTTGGCGTATGTCCAATTCATTTCCACTGCTAAACCGTACCTACTTTACTCGCAACAGTCAGTGTAAGCCCCTGAAAACAGGGAAGGTTAATCGCAGGACTGACTGGCAACACCACCATCACAGCTACTGAAACTTAAGGAAAGTTTGAAGCCTTTTCTTCAATCAGAATGTAAGGAAAAAAAACAACAACTAATCACTTCTGTTTCTTCTACATAAATTACCCAAAAAAATCTTTTGATGCATCAAGTATCACACTTCTTTAACTAACTAACTAACTAGTAGGACAATATAGTCTTTAATGTGTGATGTTCTTTGTTTCTGTGTTTTCCTCAAAACAATAAAGACAGGGTGTGTATTTCTGGTTGTTGTCTTGTCCTAATGTGTATCCTACTGTCCTGTGCATGTGTGTATATATATGTACAAATACGTTCATTTTTTTTGATTGCTTATTGATTAACTCTTTTCTTTTACGTTCTTTCCTTTTATTTGATTGACGACTACTCACTAACTCACAACCTGTGACACACAAACACAGTATGGATTGTTTCTGAACAAAAGTAAGTTAACAAAATCAACAAGGACAGAAAGTTTCTCTTCTATTTCTTTTTTTATTCGTTTTTACCTTCTCTCCACGGTTTATATACTGTTGTTTCTTATTTGCTTAAAACAAAAGTTGTTATACATGAAACGATGATCGGTGTTCAAAGTATCCAGTGGAAGCAATTAAATTGCCTTTATTTTGTATATCTGTGGACAATACATTTTTTTGCATTCCCTTTGCGTCCCGAGTAGAACATAGCGCTTCAAGTGCGATTTTTTGAAGCTTCAGTAGAAGTAGTGTTAATGGTTTTTTTTACAGGGGGTCAGGTCGCTACTAGCCTCACGCCCAACTTTCACTGTTTACTGTCTAAAAGAGGCTAAGGTGTGCTTTGGCCGCCAGGAATCGAGCCTGGACTACTTGCAGTGTAGCTGGCTAGCAGTCCACTGCTGAACCACTGACTCACGGACAGTACACTTTGGCGATTCTGGTTACATACACATACACACGAGTACTTGTAATGCACCTATCTATCTGTCTATATAAAGTTTAAACCCTTACGGCATAGGGGGGAGGATCCACCAATCTCTCCAGGTCAGGACTATAGAGTATATTCCTAATTGGCTTCAAGAACTAAGCTTGACTTCGTAATCCGATCCGAAAGCTACGGGTTATTTCACAAAATAATTTCCCCCCTAAACTTTTTTTTACTTCTTTATACTTGACCTTGAATGTTATGCATTCCGATCTTCATGGTTTCAGTCTCCACCTTTTCTACTCTGTCAACTTTTATATAAAAAATGTGTTTCAAGTGTCTGCGTGACCAGTCTGTCCGAAATGTGTTACTCAGAAAAACATACATTACACTTTTGAGATAAATTACGTCTTCTCATTGTTTTGCTGAAACTAGTAGCGCCAGGGTTTGAGTCCCCGAATATCTCATACGGCTTGACTAACTGGGTAGTAACATTAGCCTACATATATATATATATATATATATATATATATATATGATGGTGAGAATTTACCGAAAATACATATTTGCCTAAATCGTGTTCTATAATTATCATTATGAGAATATTTATTATTATTACTACTATTATTATTATCCATTCCATGCTTGTCGATTTGGAATATCTCCCTCTATTGAACACTCTCTTCTGTGTCACACACTTTCAACTAGTTGCACTATTACTCACAAGCTTTCATTTCCTCCCTACACTTAACCTTCTTCCATACAACCCTTGGACCCAGTCGCAACTCATTGCTTTCCGTTTGGAAAATATTAAAAGCGTTAATATATTTCGCAATGGCAGAGCTAGGCCTTCCGTCTATTTTCATCATTAATGGGTTTAGAGGATTCGATACGATTCGCTTTTGAAACCATTTAGGGATATGCTCTGAAGTCGTTACTAACAGGGATAAATCAGTCCTTCTTATGTATGTGTGACTACACGTACATCTATATTGATAGATATAGGGGGATGTGACACTGTTTTTCGTGTGCTTTGTGGGCTTAAATGGATACAGGATATAGGCTCCACATTGTCAATTATCCAGATCTTAACTTCATAAAAAGTCTTTCTCACCACAGCATTCAATCTTTATCTAATTACCAATTTGCTATGATCACTTATGTAAGGTAGGTAGCTTGATACATATGCATCTATTTTATTGGCGAGTTGGATTTCTGACTGCTTTTTATTATCTCCTTATGAACTTCTCTGGGTAATTATTTTCCATTAGAGATTCTGTCATATTATAGGGGACTAATTGTTTCAAAAGGGAACTGTAATCGGCACTTTGTTATTCATCCCGGAATGTATATTTATGATGAAATTAGTTGTTTTTACATACTCTATTTTCGTTTGTTTTCTCTCATCCCTCCCACTCCCTTGTAGAAATGAAGCTGAACGGAAATCACACGAATCTAATAACAATAAAAGTAATTCTATGCATAATTTGCAACCTTCATTATCGCAACCAGTGATGATTGAGCCTACTAGACAAGAGAAACAAAAGCTGCCACCAGCGTCGTCATACATGATGACTGGGCTGAGTAATCATCAAGCAGGAGAACAACACGGGCCTCCACTGCTGCCGCCATCGTCTGGATACCATCATTCAAATCCAACGAAATTTAAACAATCTGAGAAACCACCTTCCCCCACCTCATCATCATCATCATCATCGTCTTCGCCGTCATCACCTCTGCCATCTCGACATCATTCTGAGAATAACGAGGAAAAGATACCCCTTGTTTGACTGACTTTATTACTATTATTATTATTGTTTATTTTGTTTAATTTTGAGTTGTCATCTATGCTTCTTCAGGAGTGTGTGGGGTGGGGTCAAGCACCTGGTGAATGAATGAATCAATAAATGAAATGGGCAATGAATGATATGCGTCTGTGTGTGTGTGTGTTTGCGGATGTGTAAACACTCGAAACAAAATACGCCACTAACATCAACAATATTCATCATTTGTGTGTGTCTTTGTGTGAGCACACATGTGACAAGGTGTTTTAGTATCCTTTCCCTTACTTTTCACAAGACATTTCGACTTTCCTCTCTTTCTCTCTCAAATCATGCATTTATGCATTACAATTTGTTTTTATTGTGTGTGTATGGTTTTTGTGTATTTGTTTGTGTTCATATTTTGTGTTTGTGTGTATGTATGTACGTGTTCATACGTACGTATGTCGAGTAAATGACACGCACGCAAACATTACTCTTTCTCTCTGATGTCCTCTTTCAAATCACAAACTTTAAAAAATAAATCTCTGGGTGTCCTATGCGGTACTTTAGTTTCCGTTCCTTTGTGTTCTGGGTGATACATAGGGCTTCAGGTTTGAGCTCTGATGTTCCAGTAGTGGTAATGTGTTTTATTTACGGGATGAGGTTGCTATCCCTTACTCCCATCCTCCCGTTTTTACCGGTTAATCGAGATTTAGAAGTATCCATCGGTAACAAGGAATCGAACCTGGACCATTTAAGGCGTGGTTTTAGAGCACTCTACTATTAAATCAACCAACGCACAAACCAGGGAGTATTCGAAAGCTGTTTCGTCCTTCTTTGGAATTTCACCAGTACGAAGCCACAACCCCACCTCCGGATCCTCAGGTTGCAAGGCGAGCTCGTTAATCATTCAGCTACTGAGATACCCTCGTGACACCTAGGTTTCGTGATTTTCGACACTCGTCAGCCATGGCATATGTGCACCCCTTAAAGGAACTCATGTTCCCAGTGGGATTCAAACCAGCGTCACCCAGTGCTGCAGTGAAAGACACTATCGAGCTGTTCGGATCTATATGGCACTCTTTCATTCCCTTTCTCTATCTTAGCTGATTGGTCCTGATATCAGTAATCTAAAATCTACCAATCAGGGAACTTGTGTAGTTCGCCTACGGTAAGGGTGGTAGTAGTTGTAGCTGTCATGCTAGCAATCTACACAGTGTTTTGGCCATTTCCATGTTCTGTAGATTAACGTCTGTTGGTATAAAGGCCAATCAGAGGATGATTATGGTCTTTACCCTCTCATTGCCCATTACAGTGCTGTTACATCCCTGCCTAATTCACCAGTAATACTTCTTCTCACCCCACCCCACCCCCAACTGAGTGTGAACGAATTACACTACAGCATGTGATTTTTGGTAACTGCTTCTAGTCTTACCGCAATCCAAAAGACTTTAGGATATAGACGGTTACGCAAAATGTGGTTTATACAAATTCAAGTGTTTATCCTGAAACCCCCAAAGTACTTGTTCTATTGTGATTGATTGTTTCTGTGTTTTTTCACACCCTAAAGGCTACTTGTATTGGAACTGATTGTTTCCTTGACTTGAACTTTGACCCTTTGTGTGTGAGATTTCCTTCTTATCGGTTGGTAGATTTTTTCTATCTCGATGTATCTATTGATTGACGATTCACTGGAATACCAGGCTTCTAAAAAAATTCTTTAGCATTCTTGGTGTTTCCTCTGTCTAATACTTGAACGTTGTCCCAGTCGAATTGATGTGCATGGTTGTCTGTATGTAGTGATATGAGGGAATGAATGTCGTGTCTTTTGACGGCTAGCTTATGATCATGCATACGAATACGAAGGGGACGTCCACTTTGGCCAATGTAGTGTTTTTCGCAGTTACAATTTATTTTGTAGATGATGTTGGTTTTATCTTCTTTCGTTATTGAGTCTTTTGGTTGACGTACTGAATGAAGTGATTTCTACTAGTATCCAATCAAAATATCCACTACAGGAGGTCCATCGCGAGCCGGAATAGCTCAGTGGAAACGTCTGTGACTGTGGCACTGGGTGACGCGGGTTCGAATCGCAGAAGGGACATGAGTTCCTTCAATGTTGCAGATACGCCTTGCTGATGAGTGCCAACTAGCACGAAACATAGGTCGGAGGCTTCCTGCCGATTGCCTCCAACTATCTAATATCATCAAATGAAGTGATTTTGTTGGTTTGTGTGCGACTTCACTCAATTCTATGTCAACCAAAAGACTCAACAGCGAAATAAGATAAAACCAACATCATCTAGAAAATTGATTTTGAGGGAGTACAAAAGAGCTGTTTCATCCTAGCTTTGGGAATCCTTAACAGAATGCGCCCATCGTCTGAGGTCGAATCCAAGGTCCTCAAGTTGTGAGGCCAGTCTGCGCATACTTCAACCACTGGAACAGAATCCAATTGGCTACAAATTCTAACTTCTATCATTTCTCTACGTTTAGTGCCATCGCCAGCCAATATAAGTTCCGTCTTCAACACAAATCAGTTAGAAAATCAATCATTGGTATTAGTAGGCAGTAATAATTGGTATTTATTTCATGCCAGATTATTTGAACTATTCAGTCGTATTTATTGATATAAAGCCATGTATGCAAAGCTGAATAAATTGGTTATACTGAGGTTCTTTTTGATGTGTGTATGTGATATTCTGTTCACGTGGGAAATCAAAGTGAATGAGTAACGAAGGATTACAAAATTGGGATGAATTGATGCAATAAAAGATGGACATTGTTATTACTATTATTATTCGTCCTTTCCGTCCGGAGTATGAAATAAAGCTTCCACAGGACGACGTTTTCGTTATATTCCGTTCTCTGTGGTGGCGGTGGTGGTGATCACGAAGTGACTTCAGTTAGAGAATCCCTGTAAACCAGGGAGTACTAGAGAATGGTGAAATCTGATTGGTAGTTTACCTAACTAACGTATAGTTAGCAATCAATATTTGTATAATTTGAATTCTGACTGAAAGCCTGTTGTGCTAGTCTGCAGTTAAAATAATAGAACCGCAGTTATTATGTGTGTATGTATAAAGCCCTATGAGATACCATCTGCTTGTTAGTTTGCAAACGGAAATCGAGTCCCAAATCCTGTTGGTTGGTAAACGTCTGTTTAAGGCCAATAATATTGCGATTCATAAATTTAAACTTGCCAGTTCGTCTAGAAGTCATTTTTCAACTTCTTGTACCAACAAAAATGACGGGATTATCAGAAAAAGACTGTCTCTCTTATTTACATTTATATTGTTTCTGCAAAAGTTCACTTCAAACCCACAGTGAATTAAATAAAAGTCTGGATGAATTAAAAAAACATTGTATGCGTAATCATCAAATAATGAAGGTCACTTTTTTATACTTAGACCATGTGGGCATAGATCAAATCAACCAATCAATAAATAATACAGCACTAAGTAAGGTGGGCACAGCATAAAAAACTTAGTGAAAATAAGTATATGGAAATGAATCAACGCATGAATAATAATTCAGCTATAATAAATAATACAACAGTTATCACTATGACAACAGCATGAATTTTGTTTGAACGTCTTTTCTATTCTTCTCCTACTTGTTCCGTCTTGCCGACACAGATGATTTTTACCGACTGAATAATCCTGCTGTTGCTGATGGTTGGGAGGGGATATTATACACTTAGAATTGTTTAAATTTGAATCACAGTTTACGCTTTTACAATGTGATTTATTATTATTATTGTTATTAATGTTTGAGTTACACAATCTTTTTGGTTTATTTAATGCACTGTTGTCTCTCTGAAGTGCTTCAGGTATACCTACTGACAGATTTGTTAACTTTGTTGTTTGTGTAATCGTTAGGTTTTGAACTGTATGTTGTATTAATGGAGATAATGGTGATTGGTTTTGTAATTCCTGGGGTAACGATGGATTACCTAAAATTCAAAAAGTAAACTGCAGAATGTACACATGTAGACCATATGAAAATAAACAACGAAACGACGGTTACACTGAAGTCACCAACTAGACTACCGTACATTCATGAAAATTCCTGGACTTCGACTAGACTCTATATAGTAACTAATGTTGTGCGACTGGCCCGTTCATTTGGTACGAATTTGACCGATTGTGCACCAAACAACGAAGGACTAGATGCATGACATCAGTTCCAACCTGGTGACCAGTCAATGAATCCATGTCCTACAGGAGGTCAATGACATAGCCTGCATGGTTCAGTCGTAACGTACTACTGACTGCAACACTAGATGGCCTGTGTCGGAATCTAAAAAGGAACGTGAGTTCCATCAAGACTGCAGATAAACCTCACTGACGAGCACCGACGTGTACGAAACCTAGATCTAAGTCTTCCTGCCGACTGCCTTCAACAAGAGCTCCAAAACGGATTTCAAGTTATAATCAATAACAGTATGAAACTATATTACGCGAAGCATAATAATTAAGAAAATAAACAGTTCGGATAAAAAGCATAATATGGTAATATTTATTGAGAAAATAGACTCTTTATGCTGGTCATGGTAAAGCCAAGGGTTGAGCATACTTCTTTTGGGTGCATAGTGTTGGAGAGAATTTCTGGAACTCTGATACTGCAGCTATGCTATGAGATGTCTTGATCTCACTCTCTTTGAGAGATTTGATCGGATATTTTGTAGGACTTTGAAGGATTTCTCAAATGGAACACAGTATCCAGAGTTTAGCAGATATTCTGTTACTGACCTATAAACACGCCTACGTCCTCCTTTTGCTATTCCAGTCTGGATAATGTTTCCAAGTCCGTTTCACAGACGGACGTATGGTACAGCCAACGTTATCAGCTCTACAGTAGTAACTGAACTGGTATAAGCATGTTGATGCGCTCCGCTAAGACAGTTTGTCTTTCGCTTACTGGCTGAATGGTTTCATGGCAAGAGAATGTTACTCGATTACCATTCAGCCATAGGGAAGGAACCTAAATTCTGCCAATTAGCGACATAAACATAGCGTCACTACTACGCCCTTACACCCGGACTTGGTGAACATCAAAACTGAAGTGTCTCACACCAGGAAAAATTAGCTAGATGTCCAGTAATCCCTACTACTTTCCAGCGGTTTGTTGTCTAACTGTGATGTCATCAATTTTTGTGGTCCAACTTGAAATCGATCACTCCCCTTGACAAACCAACTAATTTGAGAATTGGTATCTATCTATGCTGAGGTTCGAAATGACTAAGGTGAAGTGAATTACGGTTATAGAACGTTGCACGCTAGTGGATTATCAATTCGACTTTCTGTATTCTAAGAAAAAAGCACCGAAATGTAACGGAAATACAACAGATGGTTAGCTATTCATGTAAGAAGAGAGTGAATTAATTAAATGAAGATTAGTCAAGATTTTCAGAATGTTAATATATGTAACAGACATTGAATAAAAACTCGCGTCTGTGTGAAAAATTTTTTTAACTTTCCCACTAAAAGTTTTCAGTCAACAGTTCTTAGAATCTTATATTCCACTGAAAACCCAAGGGAACAGTGACAACAGC